ATGGGCAAACGATGAAAACCTTTTCTGAGTGATTATTAGTTATGCTAAGAAAACATTGCTAAAAACTGTTCAGATTTTGGACAACAAAAAGCACGACCGAAAATCTCACGATTTATGAGGTAGTTCAGCAAAGGCATAATAACCCTACAATGAGTATGTCCAAGAAACTATCAAAATGTTTGAGAAAAACAGAAGACCAATTCTTGCAGATGTAATCTCACCAACCAAGCAGAATCAAAGAAGGTGTCCAAAGTGTCAGTTTCAAAGAATCCTTCACCTTCCGGCAATCTAAAAATAGGTTTTAACTTTTTTCCACATATAATTTCTAGAATACTTGCCTATCACAATCAACTTTCTTGCCAGCCATTTCTCCTTGCAGCAAAGGCAGCTTATTATCGGCAATTGGCACAGCCGTCTTTCCATCTGCACTTAGAATCATCGGAATTGGAGTTCCCCAACTTCGTTGCCTGAAAGAACATCGTTCAGCTGTTCAATTTTCTTCAAATTTTCAAGTATTTAGCGCAACCTACCTACTCACAACCCAATCCTGTAGCGTTCTAGAAGTCATGTATCCACCGTATCTCCCAAACTGTAACGTTTAATGCTTTTGAGAGCAAAAAAAAAATAAGTTTATACTTACTGCTGCAAGCTCTTCAACATCACGGAGGCTCATTGGCATTAGCCTCCGTCTATCCGATTTGATCTTGAACTCTTCAACGAGAACAGAATCAGCTACTTCATCACCACACCTATACAATACATCATGAATAGAGGCACGAATCTAACGATATCTGTTTAGCCACCTAGCATTCAGATGCATTTCGGGACCATCATAAGTTTCTGGAACAACAATTACAGGCATCCATACGCCGGAGATCCCATTCAAGACACTTATACCAAGCCTATCTGAATTGGTACGGCTGGGTGATAGAGAAGCAAAAGCTGAGAGAGTAGGTCCTTACATGGTGAATCCACATTTGCTCGATTAGGGTCCGATAATGGGTGACCTTGACGCAAAACAACGAAAGTCGCTTTTGGTATGGAAAGTG